CAGTTACCATTACTGAACATTGATTTATATCAAAGATTCTACTGAAGAATCCTGATCAAAATGAGAAAAAATGTGGCCTAGAATTTCAAATTCGAGTGGAATCCTGAATTTGAAATTTGAAAACTTCAGCCCTTAGATAATTTTTAACACGAAGACTTTAAATCAAAAATATTCTCTGAAATCTTTAAAACAAACAATGTTGTTGTTAGTGTTATTATGTGCTATGGAGTCAGTTCCGACTCATAGTGACCCTGCATAGGGTTTCCAAGGCTGTAAATCTTCATGAGAGCAGAAAGCCTCATCTTTCTCCCATGGAATGGCTGGTTGTTTTGAACTGCTGACCTTGAGGTTAGCAGCCTGACTCATAGCCACTATGCTTCCAGAGCTCCTTAAACCAAAGATTACTCTAGCTTAATTAGTAAAGGATGTCTGTGGTTAAACATTGGGCTCTTTTAAAGAACTTTATTTGGGGTTCAATTGTTAACTCAAGAGTTGGGTGAATGATGTGGTAATCTGCTTCAGTAAACATTATAGCACTGGGGAGAAGAGCAGAGAGCAGACCCTACCCAGAGAATCAGTGATGCCTGAGATGGTGGCAGAGACGATGACGTGGAGAGATGGAGCAGCTGGGGACTTTAGACAGAGAGAGGGAGAGGGGCTGTGTGCTGATGACTGGGGGGCAGGCTTGTAGTGTATACCCTTTGATTGGTTGATGATGCATGGAGAGGATTGTAACCATAACAATGAAACGATATAAGATAGGATGAATGTAAAAGTAATGTTCTCCCATGTAAACTATCACATAATTCACAATAAAACATTAAAAAATAAACAAAACATTATAGCATTTGGAAATCCTATGGGCAGTTCTACTTTGCCCTATATGATTGCTCTGAGTTGAAGTCTGAACAGTGGGAAGGTTTTTTTTTTTTCTTGATGTGTGTAAGAGACATAAAATCTTTACCTTTTTACTGAACAACAAAACATTTACAGACCATAACATGCTATTATTCTAAAATTTTTCTAAAGGGGCAAATAAAAAACAAAAAAAAATCACCCCTGTCTTTTCATCCAGGATATTGATTCAAGTAGAAGTGTTTTAGTCTGTGTCTCTATTTCTACAAAAACTGTGCTTAATGTTAATCTGATTCTATCATTCTCTGATGTTATATCTTTCTTTATTTGCACTCTGTAATATGCTTGTAGAAATTCAAGCCTTTTAGCTTGGCTTTTTGATTCTTTCTTCTCTCCAGTTTTCTATTATAATGCACTGAATTGCTAAGCTCATTATTTGCCTCACCTTCCTGACTTCACACATGCTGTTCCTTCTGCTTGCAATACCCAGCACTTGTTTTAGGACATCAAATTTGGTAACTCTATACCTTTTTTTTTCATAAGACCCCGCATGTACTTTGATCTCAATGTCTGTCTTTGTTCCATCTTCCTTCACTAGGTTAAACTGACACTGAAGTCAGGAGGTGGGCATTTTGTTGTGGTTAGCTGCTATCAAGTTGGCCCTAGACTCATGGCAGTCCCATGCACAATGGAATAAAATGCTGTCTGGACTTGTGCCATCCCCGAAATTGATTACAGGTTAAAGTTTGTGATCTGTAGGGTTCTCATTGGCTGATATTTGGAAGTAGATGGCCAGGCCTTCCTCCTAGTGTACCTCAGTCTGGAAGTTTCACTAAAACCTGCTCGGCATAATTGTAGCTCACAAGCCTGCAGTGACACATGGTTGGTTTTTGTGCTTAAGGTGCCTTGGTTAATAACTGAGTCCTGATTTCCTGCCTGGAAGACAGACTATATACTGCTGAACCACCAAGTGTACTCAGTCCTGACACAGATGTGCTCTAATTAAACTTCTGTTCTGTTGTTTGGAAGGATAGATGCTCCTTGTCAGTCTTTATTTACTTTACACTTCTTCTGAGGTAAGCTGGTGATGGTGAGGTGAACACCACTTAAATGTGTATAAATTCTAGTCAGGGCAAGATGCACAGACCCTTCCAACCATGAGCTAATGACCCAACTGAGCAGGTTCACCTTGGGTGGGCCACTTTCACAGAATGTATCACATGCACTTGTGATATACTGGCAAAGATGGAAGGAGTCCTAGCGGCATAGTGAGTTGAGTACTGGACCACTAACCACAAGGTTTATGGTTCAAACCAACCAGCCTGTCTGCCCCTGTAAAGATTTACAGGAAATCCTACGGAACAGTTCTATTCTATACTACAGGATCACTATGAGTTGAAATAAAGCTTGATGGCAGTGAGTCTCATTTGGTTTTTGGTTTGGCAAAGATAGATTTAGTGAGTAAAGCAATGTTTTGTTTGCATTACCTACTGAGGGCAGCTCTAGTTAGCTCTATCCAAGACCCATCTTGCTTTCTTTGGGGACCCAGACTTCCCTCCAGTCATTTTTGCTTCATTATGTGGGTTACATGGATTTTGTCATATTGAAGATAAATGGGAAAAATTCCAGGAGATGTGGAATCTGGGCAGATACTGGAATAGTTAAATGAAGCTGACTACTTGATATTAGGAAGGAACAACGCATTAAAAAAGTTCTGTCAAGAATTAATGATTACTTTCTTAGTTAATTTGTGTTTAACTGACTTCTATAAATGTATCATTAGTAATAAAAGCAATTTTGGAACCAGGATGCATTAAACCTATATATCCTACTCCTTGTTGTTAAGTACTGTGGAGTCGGTTCCGACTCATAGCGACCCTGCACAAGGTTTCCGAGGCTGCAAATCTTTACGGGAGCAGAAAGCCTCATCTTTCTCCCACAGAACAGCTGGTAGTTTCAAACTGCCAACCTTGAGGTTAGCAGCCTGATTCGTAACCACGACGCTACCAGAGCTCCTTAGATCCAGCTAAATTTCCTGCTAGTGCTAGGAATTGCTATGCTATGTAAAAGACTTTCATGGGTTCCATATATACTGTACCAAAGACTGGGGTGATTCACCATTCACCCAAATTCTTGTCCTTTGAGGGAGCGAAAGTAAGCCATGCAAGACTTGCCTGCAGAACTAACATGCATCAGAACTACTGGAGGGCTAAGTGTCCTCTACTTCTGGTAATTCCCTCCAAAACTGAGCTTTAAAAAGGCCCAGAGCACTTTCATGGGGGTGGTAATAATATTGTCTATGTAGTAGCCTGAGAAAGAACACAACAAAACTCATTATCAATTTTTATTTCCTACCTTACACCAAATGTACAGCACTGAACACAATTTTGTTGCTTTGATGTAAGAAATATTAATTGTTTGAAGAAACAGTATACAAACAGGCTACTTCAAATAAAAAAAAAATGCATACATAATTGCTTTTTTTGTTGTTGTTTACAAAAGACCCAATTTACAGTATTGAAAAAATTACAGTAAAAGAAAAAATTCAGTGCACATTACAAAACACATCAACTACAAAGGAGGCAAATAAATACAAACATACTTCACAGACCATCCTGTCAAACAATCCAAACACAAATAAATTAACCTGAAGTCAAAGAAAATTATAGTAATAAATACATAGGTTGGTAAGAGATTTCTTTTAAATTAAATAAAATATATACCCAACTTGTTAAAATATTTAGCAAATTAAACCTTTGCCTTTGTAATAAGTGAATTCATTTGTATGCATCTGTCAAGTACTGTATAGCAAAATGTTTGCAAGTACATAACTTTAATAGAAATTTTTGTTTGGTGTCCCATTTATAATAAACAGCACATATGATAGCTCTTTTTTTTTTTTTTTTTTTTAAAGAAACAAAAACAACAACAACAGATTTTTAAATAAACACAATTCCTATCTAAGAATAGACATCTCATTTTCACTAAACTAAGAACCAAAGATTTAAACAAACCCCAAAGCAAAGATAAAGCCCCACTTAATGCATAACAAGGACTACAGTTTCATGTGTTTGGAATTACTGCTGAACGTTACTTTGAATCTGTGCAGGTAAAAGTGTTAACAGTGGAATATATCAAGCCTTTGAATGCTATCACAGTCAATCTAAATATCAATGAGGCTAATTAAAAAGAAACTTTTGTCATAGCACAGAAAATTAAGCCCACACTAAGTTCATGTGTATGTTTACTCAGAGGCACATCTGCACATGAGGTGTGTGTGCATACCAAAAAGGCAGTTTAGCTGGTTGTCTATACCATTTTCTTAAAAAAAATAAATATAAAAAAACTTTTGAAATAATGCTTAACTACTTACAATCCCTGAAATAGACATTGCCTTTACTATAGCAACTACTAAGATCCGTTCAGAAATTCAAGATCGCAGGCTCAACTTTACATGTTTGAGTGCATATGAGTGGATATGTGTGTTTGTGTGTGTGTGCACATACATGCACTTGTGTGTACTTCGTAGCAGTTGGGGTTTTATGGAAATTTTTGTTTTGTTTTTAAATTAAATTGAAAGTTGTCTTGTTATCTAAGCACTTGCATGTACTTTGTAGCAGGTGGAGTTCTATGGAAATCTGTTTTGTTTTGTTTTTTAAATTGAAAGTTGTCTTGTTGTCTAAGAGAGGGAAAACCTAATTTTGCCAGCGTTGAAGTACTTACTCAGATAGAAGTAATATTTTTATGTGTTAATGTACTTTCCATTCCTTTCCAGTTAACCCAGTAAGATAAATGCTATTTCAGGGGATATGGTATCTACAAAATTCTCCATTTGGATGTGTTTATGTTTGCTAAGTACAAATCTACATCAATATTGTCACTTGTATATTGTACTAACATATGGCAGGAAAGCCTGGCTGGTCACATCATTTTATTTCTCATCTTGGGATAAGAGTTGCCAACTATCTGATATGGTTTGAAAACAAACAGACAAATCTGCATCATTAGAAAAGCTTATGTTTCTTTAAAATGTTTCAAATAAATAATTCATATTAACAAAACCATACAGCCAAGTTGAATATATTTGCTGATTGCTATATTTAATTATTGCTAACAAATTCTCAACAGGCTGTTTTCCAGGGTACTGTGCTTTTTGTGAGTGTGGGATTCCCACTAGTGGGCACAATTTGTCTTCTTGTTCCTTCTTCCTCACTTCTCACATCACAGCAAACATTATAAATAGGAAAGCCAGTGAAAGGGGGAGAAAAAAAATGCAAATATCATAGAGACCATAGCGCAGTCCTTAGACAAAAATTTCCTCCTCACTTTTTGTTTCCTCCATAGACCCAGCAAAATATATGGTTTCAGAATAGCATTACTATTTAAACTCCATTGGAAAATAAATTAATAAACACATTTGTAAAAAATATGGTAGATTTTGCAATGCAGTTAAAAGATAAATAACTCTTTGATTAGAAATAAATAAAATATAAAATGTCACATGTATTTTACATAGGCTTTACAAAAAAAACCCCAAAGAGTACAATGAAGAAATAAAGGAAAAATGTATGAAAATAAATAAGATCTAATATTCGACTGCATTGCTTTGAACCCAAATAGTCTATCATAGTTTTTCTTTCCTGTTTATATCAGCTGGAGGAAAAATTAGTGCAATGTTGCAATTGTAAGTGCAGTACAGCAACCTGCATGCTTGAGCAGTACAGGAACCCCTACCACACGTGGCATTACCGCTGTTGGAGACTTCTGTTGCCAGTAGTGTCATGATCCTACACGTGGATGCCCTTCACTGCCTGTTTGATACTTTCCAGTAGAGCTTTGCATTCTGGGGAATAGTCCCGCTCCAGATTGCTGTACATGTCTGTAAGTGTATTTACATATGCTTCAAAATTCTGCTCACTGATAGGCCCCTGCATGAAGACAAAACACAATGTACCAATCATGGTAGCTCAGGATGAGGCTACAGGTAGATCAAGGGACAGGGAATGTTACCTGTGACTTAGGAGGCTGGGAAGGCAGGCAGGGATTCAATGACTGAGGGAATTTGGGGAAAATCAAGACACATGGAAAGTGGGTTGAAACACTCCTTTCCCTATTAATGGGATAGGTATGCTTTGACTTTGCAGGATTTGTTGGTCAATTTGGAGCCGCACAGGGCTGAGGCTGGGCTCCTCAGGGCTGCAGTACCTGGGAGGCAGTCTGGGCTGGAATTGTATAAGAGTAAACTATGTAGTAGACCCCCAGTAACATGGATTGGCAAAGTGGCAGCATCAGTGGGCTCCAGCGTGGCAACAATAGTGAGGTTGGCTCAGGATCAGACAGTGTTTCCTTCTGCTGTGCATAAGGTTGCTATGAGTCGGTTCCAATGTGTGTGGAAGGTAGATGTGGGCAAATCTAGTGAGGATGACTTGGTTTATACCGGACAAAATATCAGGAATTTAAGATTTGACCAATTGGCTCACTAACCAGTTGGGTGGTAGAAAATCTCACTCATCTATCTTTAGACATTCTCTGTCCATTTTTCTTTGTAGATTGATTTTAATATCCTTTTCAATTTCTATATCTATCTCCTCATGTAGAGCATCAGATTTACAAACTCAGGCTCTGTCCATACCTTATTCTTTTTTTGTGTATATCTGTATTGGTATGTCCTTTGTCTAAGGTGGTGCTTGCAAAGTAGCACACAGTCAAAGTGTGGAACCTGAAGGTGTGAATGAAATAACATGCATGGCTATCATAGTATGTGACTCACCCAATTCTGATGCCTCTATTTTCCCATCTTTTTGTGAAACACATGGTGTGTTCTTTAACTTTACAAGGTGCTTGAAAGAAGACCTTTAAAAACTCTATACTACTATTGTTATTGTTACTGCTGAGGAGGCAAACTTTCTAATTGTTAGGCTTATGTTATTGTGATAACCAAAGTCCAATCTAAGTTATAGTATTTTTATAATCATGGTTTTCTGCTTCCTTTCCATTTCTGTCTTCACTGTGCTGGATGTTTCTAGGGGAACCATAACTAGATGAAGTCTCAGGGGTGGGCAGAGAGGACAAAGGGCACGCGCTATGGCCAGGTACATCTGACAGTGTTAGTGCTAGCTTGGGAACTTTGATCACATTATATAAACTGAATCCTCTTTTCCCTAGCTGTACAACTGGATAACAATACTTCCTCTTCGGTGTGCTTATAAACTTTTTATATGTTGTTGTTGTTAGGTGCCATCGAGTCGGCACTGACTCATAGCGACCTTATGTACAGCGGAATGAAACAATGTCCGATCCTTGAAATCAAATGAAATTCCTTATATGAAAGCTATTATTTTTATGGCCCTGGTGAAGAAAAAAATTCTCAGGAAAAGAAATTTGAGCTAACAATTAGACAAATGTTAATAAATATTATGTTGTTATTGTTAAGTGCCGTCGAGTCCGTTCCGACCCATAGTGACCCTGTACAGGGTTTCCGAGGGTGTAAATCTTTACGGGAGTAGAAAGCCTCATCTTTCTCCAGCGGAG